GCACGCGGGGCCCCAGCTCCGGCTTCAGACAGTCGAGGCGTGTGCGCAGTGAACGACCTTGTAATAATTTCGCGGGGCTCACACCGGTAGTACAGTGTTCGGTGTTACGATATACGAGTAGAAACCTATTAAGCGCGATATCGATATTCACACCCTGTACCAGTGCCTTTTTTATAACCCGCTTGCTCATTCTAACCGCATTATCAGCTGCGCCATTCGAAGCCGGGTGATAGGGTGCTGAAAATATGTGTTCTATACCGTTATTCTTAAGAAATAACTGAAATTCCTGACTAGTAAATGGTGGACCGTTGTCACTCACTATCTGTCTTGGCAGACCGAATCTAGCCCACATTTCCCTTAATTTGCTTATTAAATTTTTTGCCGAAATGGAACTCATAGCAGTGACTTCGACCCATTTAGAATGAGCGTCCACGGTGACTAAGTAAGTAGCGCCCCCTATCGGCCCTAAAAAATCGTGATGCAGTCGCGACCACGGGCGCTCTGGCCACAGCCACGGGCGCGGCTCGTGTCGCTCCGGCGCGTCCGCCAGGCGCGCGCACACCGAGCAGGCGCGGCACACGGCCTCCACCGCCTCGTCGATCCCCGGCCACCACACGTAGCTGCGAGCGAACTGTTTCGTCTTGGTGATCCCCATGTGAGCCACATGTAACTCTGCGAGAACTTTCTCCCTGCAACTAGAAGGTACCACTACTCTGTGACCCCACATGACGCACCCCAGTTCCTCGTATAACTCTTTCTGTCTGTGAAAGTATGGTTTGATATCTTTTATTTCGATATCTTGCGGCCAGCCGTCCCGTATATAACCGAGGACCCGCCCTAGTATCGCGTCCCTCGCGGTTTCCCGCTTTAAACTATTATTGTCTATTAATAAGGCCTCTGACGCGAAATGTAAATAAGTTTGTTCCGGAAATTCTCGATTTTCCTCCGACCTACTCTCTTTATGGGTAGAAATCATTCGCGACAATGCATCCGCCACATTATTATTAGTTGAGAAACAGAAACAGAAACAGAAACTTTTTTATTCAATATAGATTATAAATAATACTTATTGAAGGTCACTCTTTTGTTTGATTACCACTGGTTCGGAAAAAACCTCTGTCCTGGGAAGAACCAGCAAGAAACCCAGCGGGACTTTTTTTTTAAAATAACAGCTTACAATCATGATGTTACACAAATTAACAACACAACAAATTAGAAATAGCTTGGTAGCGATCACCTCATTTCCAGGGGTTATTATCATCCATAAATTCCTTAATATTATAATAACCCTTTTTATACAAACTTAGTTTAATAAAGTTTTTGAACTTTGAACAGGTCAAACTTTGTATATTTTCTGGAATTTTGTTGTAAAAGCGTATACATCGCCCCAAGAATGAATTACTGACTCGATGGAGTCGAGTAACTGGTACTACTAGCTTGTGTCTGTTCCTAGTATTTACAGAATGAATATCACTTATTTTTGTAAAACTACTTTTATTTTTGTGTACGTACATTACATTTTCATAAATGTATTGAGAGGCCAAAGTTAATATATTAATTTCCTTAAATTTTTGTCGCAGCGACTCTTTAGGCTTTAAATCATAAATTGCTCTTATGGCCCTCTTCTGCAAAACAAATATAATTTCAGTGTCAGCTGCGTGTCCCCATAGCAAAATACCATACGACATTATGCTATGGAAGTAGCTGAAGTAAACTAGTCTAGCCGTTTCAACACTGGTTAAACTTCTAATCTTTTTTACAGCATATGCTGCAGAACTAAGTCTGCTTGCTAGTTTTGATATATGGGGGCTCCATTGAAGCTTCGCGTCTAGTGTGATTCCAAGAAAAATGGTGGTATCTACAAGACTCAGTTTCTCCCCATTTAAAATTACATTAGTATTTAATTGTTTGACATTTGGAGTCACGAATTTCATACATTTTGTTTTAGTGCCATTTAAATGCAAATTATTAACATCGAACCAATTTACTAATTTAGAGATAGCATTATTTACTTCGTCATATTTTAGTAACTGTCGACTTAATTTGAAAATTAAAGAAGTGTCATCTGCAAATAATACTATATCATGGTTATCCCCTACTATGTAAGGTAAGTCATTAATGTATACAAGAAACAGAAAGGGGCCGAGAATTGAGCCTTGAGGCACGCCCATTTGTACCATCGATCCGGAAGAGCTCATATTGTTAATGACAACTTTTTGCGTTCTCTTACTTAAATATGAAATAATTAATTTAAGGGCATCACTTCTTACACCGTAGTGTTGAAGTTTCCTGATTAATGTTTCATGGTGAACACAATCGAAGGCCTTGGATAGGTCACAAAATCTACCCAAAGCATCCTGTGAATTCTCCCATGCATTAAAGATATATTTAATCAGCTCAACACCGGCATCAGTTGTCGAGCGACCCCTTGTGAAACCAAATTGATTTTTATGAAGTAAATTATTTATATTAAAAAAATTTAACATTTGAACAAGAACAATTTTTTCAAAAATCTTACTAAGTGTTAGTAGTACAGAAATAGGTCTAAAATTGGCGGGGTCTAATGTACTACCAGATTTAAATAAAGGTATTACTTTACTATGCTTCATTAAATCAGGAAACACACCAGATTCGATACTAGTATTAAAAATAATAGCTAAATGAGGCGCGATTGTATCTATTATAGACGCAATAACTTTAACGGAAATCCCCCACAGATCCGCAGTTTTCTTAACATCAATAGTTTTAAAATATTTTACAATATCTTTTGATGACACTTTATGAAATGTAAAATTCTTTGTACACACATTTACATTTTGTTTAAGTAATGATTCGGCGACGGCAGGAGAAGAATTCAGTGACTTAGTGGTCAAGATCGGAATATCAGTAAAATATTTCTCAAAAACCATTGCTACGTCCTGATCTGATACAGTTAATTTGTTGTTAACACTTAACTGGTAATTTGAATTGCGAGAGTTGATCTTACCAGTTTCGCTATTAATTATACTCCATGTCATTTTAATTTTATTGGAAGCCGTCTTAATTTTGTTGCTCAAATGCAAAGACTTGGCTATGGAGCACACTCTTTTAAATATTTTTGAATATTTTTTTACATATTCCCTAAATTCGACGCTATGATTATATGACCTTTCATGGTAAAGATCATATAACCTATGCCTGCTCTTATGGACTCATACTGTCGCCCATTCATTGAATGACTTCCGACTGTTCAAGGAGAATGTTTTAGAAGTAAAAGTATTATTAAATTCATTGCAAATAAGCTTAAATAATGTTCCATACAAAAAATTAGGATCATTTTGGTATGAAAGTGATGGAAGTTTTTTCACTACGTTACTTCTAAATTTCTCCAAGCGACGTGCATTTACTGGAACAGACACAACTTTCTCATCTACTTGCTTTTTGTTAACATAAGGTAACGAAACTACTTGTCCACAGTGATTAGAACTTAATTTTTGAATTATACATTTATGCAACGGCTTCACATTTGTAAAAATGTTATCTATACATGTTGCACTAGATTGAGAAATACGCGTTGGCTCTATAAATAAATTAAAAAGACCATATGATTTAAACAATGATCTAAATTTAATATTGATGGAGGAAGCTTCTAGGAGATTGATATTAAAGTCTCCACATATTACAACAGATTTATTCTGTTTATTAAGCTTAGCAAAAACTTCCTCCATAATGTTTTCAAAAGCATCATATGTACAACATGGGGGTCTGTAGACGCTCACAACAATGAGGTGCTCAAACTCAACACATGCCATTTCTACAGTTCGCTCAACAGACGTATTCGATATCGAAATCGTAAGCTGTTAATATTAAATGCTGAAACACATTCAAATGCTGAAAAAGGGCTTCATCAGATTTATCTATGGCTGAATAAGAACCTATTAACGCTTTACATTCATAAATCTAGTTATATAACATTCTCTATAAACAAATCCACACAGCCAAACAGTAATAAGTTAAATCTATAAATTCACGATTGTGATAACGTAAGCTCTTTAACTTGCCCTTGTTTACCATTACAAAAAACTCGCTGTATTAAATATCTTGGTGTTCAACTCGATGAAACACTTTCGTGGACTTCACACTTAGATCTTCTATCTGCAAGAACACGTAAGCTAATATGGATCTTTAAAAAACTTAGAAATGTACTCAAACTAACATTATTAAAAACGGTTTATTATGCTCTAGCTCAGTCGATCTTAAGCTACTGCATCTCTGTTTGGGGTGGAGCGTGCAAAACTAAAATAATTAAGGTGGAACGCGCACAGAGATCTCTGCTTAAAGTAATGCTAAGAAAGCCTTACCGATACTCAACATTCAGTTTGTACAAAGAAAGTAAATTACTGACTGTAAGACAACTATTCATATTAAACCTAACTTTGCGCAAGCACAAAGAACTAACCTATGACCCTAAAATTATTGATAACCAACGAAGAAACAATAGAATATGTAGTATAATGAGACATAATACTGCCTTCTTCAGAAGACAATCTTGCTTTCTCGCCCCTTATTTATACAACAAAATAAATTCATTATTAAACATCTATCCAAAAACTTTGTATGAATGAAAGTTTTATTTAAAAAAATATCTTTCAAAGCTTGGTTATGACGACACTGAATCATTTGTTGCTATTGTAAGCTAATACACACGCACGCACGCACACACACTCACTCTCACACACACATAACACAACCCCCCCCCCCCCCACATACACACACACACACACACACACACACACAATTTCCGACAAACTTGGAAGTAGTCAGCGAGCGAGTGACCTGGAGTCCTGAAATACAGGGACACCCTAGTTTAGGCTCCAGTCCACCGCAAAAAAATATATTAAAATATTTAATATTTCTTAAGTTTTGTTAGTAGACTTATCTATATACTTTTGTGGTGGAGAAATAAATATAATTTTCATTTCATTTCATTTCATTTCATTTCATTTCATTTCATTTTCATTTCATTTCATTAAAGCCCATCTCTGTAATCTACTGGCCGTCATGCTAGGAATACCTTGGTGTGGACCGAATATTGTGACTAACGGTTTATGATCCGTTCGCAATGTAAACCGTCGCCCGTAAATATACTGGTGAAACTTTTTCACAGCAAATACAATAGCTAACGCCTCCTTTTGTATCTGACTGTAGTTGCATTCCGCGGCGGTGAGCGCGCGCGACACACACATGACGGGGCGCTCGCGGCCGGCCGCGTCGCGCTGCGCCAGCACGGCGCCGAGCCCGCGCGCGCTGGCATCACACGTCACCACTAACGGCGCGCCCGGCTCGTAGTGGCTCAGCGCGACCGCGTCACTCAAACGTCTCTTAACTACAGTGAAAGCCTGCTGTTCTAATTTATCCCATTTCCATGTCGAGTCTTTTTTTAGTAGTTCGTAAAGTGGCTGTAAAATGGTACTCAAATTGGTCACGAAACGGCTATAAAAATTGACCATTCCTAAAAATGACCGAAGTTCCGAAATATCTCTGGGTGGTGACATCAACAGAATCGATTCTATCTTGTCAGGATCGGGGTGGATTCCCTCTTTATTCATTACATAACCCAAATATTTCACTTTTTCTACAAAAAATTCACATTTTTCCCTTTTTAATTTAAGACCGTACTCTTTCAATTTATCTAGCACTTTACGTAAAGTATGTATATGGTTTTCGATAGTGTCCGAAGCGATCAAAACGTCATCCAAAAATACTACGACCCCCTCGATATCTTTTAACAAGTTAACCATTATTCTTTGAAAAATTCCCGGACTGGATGCTAAGCCGAAAACAAGTCTGTTGTACATAAACAAACCGCGATGGGTGTTAATTACTGTGTACTTTTTGGTATCGTCAAGCTCGATCTGATTGTATGCCTGTGATAAGTCTATTTTGCTGAAAAATTTACTTCCCCCTAATTGCGACAATAAGTCGTCAATTTTAGGCACTGGGTACTTGTCGACACATAAGACACGATTGAGGGTTACCTTGTAATCCGCGCATATTCGAATAGCTCCATCCGATTTATTGACAATAACGAGAGGAGTCGCCCAGTCCGAGCACTCGACGGGCTCAATGACGCCCGCGCGCAGCATGGCGTCCAGCTCGGCGTCCACGCGCTCCCGCAGCGCGTAAGGCAGCGGCCGCGCGCGGCAGAACACCGGGGCCGAGTCCGCGCGCACCGCCAGCCGAGCCCGCCCACCCGTGAAGCGCCCCAGCCCGCCGTCGAACAACTCAGCATAGCTGGAAAACAATTCATTTACGGCATAAGATACATTCATGGCTGATTCGTTTAACCTGTTTACATTAAATTTTGGTACGGTGATATCAAGTTCTGACAACCACTGTCTGCCTAATAAAGTAGTAGTACCGTTATTAATAACATATAAGTCTAAAACTTTGCTAGACCGCCCATATGTCACATTAACCTCGCAGTAACCTAATGGCTTTATTTTTGTTCCATCATAAAAGGTTAGTGCTAAATCACATGGTAATAATGGTAAATGATTAAATGTATCTTCATACGTGGTTTTACTAATAAACGACAACGCCGAGCCAGTGTCTATTTCCATGTTGAAGTTATGTCCACTCACTAATAAACACAAACTCACCGGCTTGTACTGTGACAGCGACATTTGCATCACCGGTTCTTCCTCGGGTGCCTCGTGGTACTTACTCAATGCCGCCCCATCGTCTGCATTGACATAATTTGTTTTCGGTCTCTGATTATGTCCTCCGCGACCGCTGTTCCGGCTTTTCTTTCCGAAGCCCTGTACATTCGCCGCGTTTCCGTTGTAGGAACCCGACGCCACCGACTGGTTATTTGTGAAACACACGCGTCGTAGGTGGCCCATCACGCCACACTTGCTGCATATGTAGGTTCTGAACTTGCACTCGCTGGCAACATGGTCAACACCTCCGCAAGCTCCGCATAGCGAACCGCGCACATCCGCGCGTCCTGCGCCGACGCCGCCGCCACCGCCTCCCGCCACTGCGCTGTGCCGGGTATGGCGGGCTCGCTGGCCGACGCGCATGGCGTTCAGCCCCCGTTTGCCCCGCCGCCGCCATCGCCGCGCAGCTGACCCGCGGCCTGCGATGACGTCACCGCTGCGCCCGACTCCACGAGCGCCGCGTCCCGCTCCGCTGCCTCCAGCAATCCCGCTAAAATCACTGCCTTGTCATAGGACAATAATTTTTCTTCCGCGAATAATCTCTGCCGTATGACGTCACTTCGAAGTCCGCACACTAACTGATCCCGTAAATTGTCCTGTGGGACTGCACCGAATTCACAATGTCTAGATAGTTTCTTTAATGCCGCCACGTAATCACTGATCGATTCACTGTCTGTTTGTCTCCTTTGCCTAAAACGATAACGTTCCGCCATCGGAGATGGTTTCGGTTGCAAATGATTACGTAATAGTACAACTGCATCCAAATACGTAAGTTCCGCGGGTTTCTTAGGACTCGCGAGGGTGGATAACAGTTCATACGCACTTTCACCCATAGCCGCGATCAAGGTAGGCAATTTAATTTCGTCCTTCACTGAATTTGCCACAAAATACATTTCTAGCCGTTCCACGTAAGCAGTCCAGTTACCGGTTTTCACGTCAAACTCACTAATCTTTCCGACCGACATTTTGCACGCTGATTGTTCGCAGTCTAAATTTCCCGTATTTTCTATTTTCACGTATTTTTCGCCGATTTTCACCATTAAAATCCTCGTCGCCAGTGAGACAAAGGAAAACACGTCCGTACAGTTCAACCATTTATTGCGAGAGAGAGAGAGGTTACAAACTACCTTCCTTATATTAACAATAAGCTTACCCTACATTACAGTAATGTCAATCGTAAAGCAAAGAATATTAAGCATGCAGGTGACGTATGGGCTATGTATAGTTCAGCTTCTGAGCACAGGCATCTTCGCAATTCTGAGGGGGTTTAGGAACAAGGAACAGTCCGGCGCGCTACCCTAATGGATGTTGGAGGAATTCTCGTTCACAATTCTCTCGCAATGTGTTCCATCCAACGCAGAAAACTCGATATATTGACGCTAAAAATTGCTATTAACAAATGCATTGTCGCTAGAAGAGTTTGAACTTAGTTTGCTTATGTACTGCAAAATTCAAAGCGAGTATTTATCTCCTAGTTTAAGTAAATATAATAAAAATAAATTCTAGCATCGTAAAGATGTGACGTGACGTAACTGCTAATAACCTAGGTCTACTGTAGGGCAAAAGAAATATTTATTTACAAGCTTTGAAATGAAAATCTTTGTAATTAAAATAGGTGTTATATAATGATGACCTAAAATAAGTCCGTCATCCAACGACAGTTTCAGTTGGCTAAGTTGACATGCCGCTAAAATAATATCTGTATTCCTTTTTTTGATACAATGTATGAGCCTTACTTTAGCATCGTAAAGATAATAAACTAAAGTTACAGCCTATATACGCCCCATTGCTGGGCACAGGTAAACTCTCAATTTTGAGGTAGTAATTGAGCAATCAGTTCTGTGCACTGGTATTTATAACTAGTCTGCCCATCAAGAATGTACAATCAAATTATGTAATTAAAAAAATTATGTCATAAATTTTGATAGATTTGCCGCCATTTTACATATTATATTTCACCGTGATTGGTTGAGTGGGTGTAAAAGAAAAAAGCGTTACCGTCTAGCAAGTGGTAAATTAGCATTTAGAATTATTGCAAGTAACATTTTCATTGGTGCTGGTGGGTCTGGTGGGGCTGGGTCGAACCCGGGTAGATTAGAGCGAGCTTCACTACTATATATTACATCACTATATTACAGGAACAGAAATGTTTGCTGCTACAACCAGTGACAAAAGGGGTTTAGATATCTATATTAATAAAATCATAATGATGACTTTTAATAACTATTCTTTTAATATATATTGAATAAAATGATTATATAATGATTTCTTATATTTTGAGAATTATTATTGATTTAAAAGTTCAATAAAAACCCGCGTTAAAGAACACATAGCTGATGTGAAGAATCGACGCTCCGGGAAGTCTGCAGTCTGTGAACACGTATTCCCCCCGGTCACTATATTAGATTTGATAGACCACAAATCCTCGCTAAAGAACACCGATTCCTTACAAGGATGATTCGCGAGGCTATTGAAATCAAAAACATTCTAATTTCAATAGAGAAGATGGCTGGGTGCTACCATCTGCTTGGGATCCTATAATTAATAAAATTAAATCCCAACCCAAGCATATAACTGCAAGACTTCAAGATACTGTACGATCATACTGCGTAGATCGGAACAAAAATTATAAATTTAAATTTAATCTGGAGGTAGCCATGGTTAACTATGATATTGGGATGTCGAACACCTTACTCCCCCCCGTGACCATGGGTGCTGTAAAGTACTCAAAACGTCGGGAATATAAAATAAGTTAATATACGCGATAAAATCCGTAAAACTACTTTTATTTAAAAAATGATTCTATTTTTAACCCCCGACGGAAACAGAGGGGTGTTATACGTTTGTAGTGTGTACCTGTGTAACTGCGTATCTGTGTGTCTGTCTATGACGTCATAGCTCCTAAACGGATGAACCGATTTTGATTAACTTTGTTTTCATTTGAAAGATGTCTTAATCGAGAGTGTTCTTAGTTATGTTTCAAGAAAACCTGTTCAGCCGTTTGAATGTCATCAGCTTTTTTGTTTAGGTGTGTCTTCAATTTTTTATTTAGGTTCATCATCATCATCATCATTACAGCCCTTCACAAGTCCACTGCTGAACATAGGCCTCCCCCAAAGAATGCCACAAAGCACGGTCCTGAGCCACCTGCATCCATCGACTTCCTGCATATCTTACCAGGTCGTCACTCCATCTAGTGGGGGGACGCCCTACACTTCGCCTGCCGGTACGAGGCTGCCACTCGAGAACCTTTCTTCCCCATCGGTTGTCGGTTCTTCGAGCTATATGGCCGGCCCATTGCCACTTCAGCTTACTAATCCGTTGGGCTATGTCGGTCACTCTAGTTCTACTGCGGATATCCTCATTTCTGAGTTTATCACGCAGAGAAACTCCAAGCATAGCCCTCTCCATAGCTCGCTGAGCGACCTTGAGCTTCCTCATCCGGCCAGCAGTGAAGGACCACGTCTCAGTTCCGTATGTCATCACTGGCAACACGCACTGGGTGTACAGTCTCGTTTTCAAGTTTTGAGGTATACCTGACGAGAAGATGTGCCGTAATTTCCCGAACGCTGCCCAACCGAGTTGAATCCGTCGATTGACCTCTCGGTCGAAGTTGGACTTACCTAGTCGGACTATTTGTCCCAGGTAAACATACTCGTCAACAACTTCGAGCTTAGTGTTCCCAACAACTACCGGCATAGGTGTGACATGGACATTAAACATGATCTTTATTTTGTCCATGTTCATCTTAAGACCTATCCGTTGGGAAACACTATTGAGGTCATTGAGCATAGTGCTTAGGTCCTCCAGCGATTCTGCCATAAGGACTATATCATCGGCAAATCGAAGGTGAGTGATGTACTCGCCATTGATGTTGATACCGTATCCTTTCCAGTCCAGAAGCTTGAAAACATCTTCCAATGCAGCGGTAAAGAGTTTCGGGGATATGACGTCACCCTGTCTTACACCTCTCTGCAATTGGATAGGTTTCGTACTCTGGTTCTGTACTCGGATAGCCATCGTAGCCCTACTGTACAAGCACTTCAACACTTCGATATACCGACAGTCAACTTGGCATCGCTGAAGGGACTGCAGCACCGCCCAAATTTCGACGGAATCAAAGGCTTTCTCATTATTTAGGTTATATTATTTTTTTCTATTTCGGTTTTACTTGAACCATTCGACGACTGTTTGACGTGAGCAACACCCATAGTAATAATATATATTTTTGCCCATAGTAGAAAGTAATTACTATAATCGCCATGTCTGGGAGGCAGATTGCCAAACGTATTGGAATGGATATAACACAAAACACACCCGGAAACTGAATAATTTCTTTTCAGTTTTTTACCCGTTATGCTCTTGTTAGAATTAACGCTGGCCAAATTATAAATAATTTTCCTCCAGCGGTTGATTAGCTTAAG